ACACTTTTACAAAATATATTTATTTTATAATGGCCAAAGTAGTGAAAACCAATGTATTTAATTTTTAGTGCTATATATTTCTTTACAATGTACGCTTAGTATCATTATTATTATATTATCTATGTTTACATGTAAGAATAATAGTAAACACAATAATAATAACTCATTATGTTTTAATTTTTCACTCCAAAAAAATGTCTATAGTGTATCTAAATCTAATATGGGGATATATAATTTTATATGTGGCCCGCAGAGTTATGATGCATTTCCAAAGTGGCCCGAAAGATCATTTGGGTTGGCCACCCCTGGTCTAATGCTTGTTTAAGTTGTACGTCACACATGAAAATTTATACTCGCATGAATATAGGGAAAAAAAATTCATTTTGTTCTTGTGCAGTTTCTACCAAGATACACAACGGACCTTTAGGTGTCAACGCTGCCACCAAATCTGTACAATAAAAAAGTGTTGAAATGATTCAGTTAGGAAGCACAGAACAGTCTTTGTTTACAAAGAGGATCCAATTTTAAATGACTGATTAATTCTTACACTGTGTAGTGATATTGTCCAAGTCCAGAAATGGGAGATAATCATGCATGGTAGAAAGGTAAAATACAGAATGACACAATATATTTTAAAGTGCTGTATGTACCACCCAGATGGCAACTTCCACAACCAGCCAAAGTAATTAGCTAGCAATTTACTTAATATCTGTGAAGACTATGAAAGATATCACAATGGATATTAGGAAAACAGGAGTCGGAGGTGTGGACTGGATTCATCTGGCTCAGAAAAGGGACCGGTGGTGGGCACTTATGAACATGGCAATGAAGGTTCAGCTTAATTTCTTGACTAGCTGAGTGTACTATGAACTTCTCAAGGATGACTGCTCCATGGAGTTGGTTAGTTCAGAGGGCTGTTGAAAATTTAAACTTGTTCTAGCATTTACTGCATGGAACTAAACTTAAAATTACACAGTCACAGTCATAGGGACAGAGTCTGAGTTAGGAATCAATTACTACCACCACACAAAAATGCATACAGAATTTCTGGTTAGAAAACCTGAATGACTGACTGAATGTATCTCTGTACTCTGTTAAGATGGGAGGCAGATAAAACTAGCTTAAGCTTATGTAAAATAGTTGGCTCTGCTAGAAAGTGTGCTGTAATTTTGTGTCCAGATATTAAATACTCCATGGTGCAGCCATTCCTGAGATGTTGACAGTACATAACTCAAGATCCAGAAAGTCAAGATATTTCCTATTTTGATGGAAAATGGAGGTTGAGAACCATGCTCACAGTAGTCCACCACTGTACCAAATCCTCAGCCAATTCACACTGTTTCTCTGTGTAATCCAATCTAATGTTATCCTCTTACCTGTGCCTATGTCTTTCAATTGCACTCTTCTCTAAAAACTTTCAAATTACAATTTTGTACACTCCTATCATCTTTCCTGTGAGTGCTATATGGTCCTAACATCTCATTCCCTTGATTTAATTGCTATAACAACATCAGGATAAGCGTACAAATCATAAATCTCATTCTGTATGATTTTCCTGTTACTATTTTCTTTGTTCCAAATATCACCTTTAGGACCATGTTCTGAAACAAGCTTAATGGGTAAGTTATCTCAAATATATAACTTGTGGCAGTGGTCACTTGTATTTAATGCAATACACTGCATTTTGAGTGGCAACAGTCATTATACAGCAACCAAGTATTTGATGTAATTTGTAATGTTATATTACCCCGAACAGAGATGACTCCTAGTACAACCCAAGTGGTCCATTCAAACAATGGTAAGGTTGTGAAACAATACCACACCCCACGTCAGGAGTCCTGGACGCTCGTCTGGGACTTCTAAAATACCAGCTCTCTTGAAGGCACTTCAACTCACATGTGGATGTTGGCTATCAGAGTTATGCCCTCGCTTTTACTGCAGGGGTATGGATAATCTAATCACATTGTGGGATAACTATCTTAATATGCATGGCATAACGTTAAAAAAACAGTACAAATATGTTCCTTGATTCCTGTGTAATATATGGTTTTATTAAAAGTCTTCTTACAAAACTTTGTATTACATTAATTTTCAGATGCCCCTTGTATTAAGACATACCTTGTAGCAGCGGTACTTGTAAAGAACTATAAGCAGAACTGTCATCACAACAATCACAGCCATCAAAATAAGTGAATTGGCTACAGCATTCCACACTTTTGTGCTAGTGTCAGGACTGTCTTCATGGAATGGGGTATACACACTGTATGAAAAAGAGGGCAATAAGAATAATAATATGTTACCATCATTCACAAACATTCACACACTTTGATCAAACAAGCAGTCCTTATAAATCATAATTAGTCCACAATCAACTTCATTTTGGAATGTACCTTATAAACTTTTATGCAATTTATTTTCTCTGAGAATAAAATGTCAACAGTTTTGCCCAAAGGATAGAAACTGACAGTTCTTTGTGAAATGTTAACATTTTACAGATATTGACATACATGTCTGGCTTACAATTTGAGTAATAATATGGGCAAGTTCAGAAATACTTACAGGTAAATATCTTTGGTGGTATAGAAGGTGACAGAGCTGATGGTCACCACAACAACCAACATGCATAGCGACAGGCACAAAAAGTTTTATGACATGTTTTGCTAAATATTTCAATTCTTCTTCTTCCTCTACTGGCCATTCTGGTTCACCAGAATGATTATCTGCAACTTGCCCACCTACAGTACTAGTGGATGCACGATTCACTAGTCCATTCTCTTGGTGCCATAAAACACAAAAGGAAGATTAATTTTTACAAATTATTATCTACCGTTTCCTTCTGAGGTGACTGGCGTGGCAATGCAGTTAAATGGAAATGAGGAAGTTCACTGTTATCTTTTTAGTGCACTGCCTTAGAATCCAATGGCAGAACTGAGTAAAATCACAACATGACAGTAATTTTCACAAACAACATTAAGTTTTTTAGGCACTTGAAGCATTCTGATTTTATTCCAAAAGACATTTTAAAAATAAGTTTCACGAATCTGTATCAACACATAACCTCACCTTACTTCACAGATGAAAAAGTCAGATCACTCCAGTTTAATGTATGTGAATTCTAGAATGCAGTGTAAAAGTATCGAAAAAAAGCAAACTCCACATAACACTGTAATTTATAAAAATATGTCTTTGCCACTCCCTTTACAAGTGTGAGTACCAGCTGTAATTATGGGAATAAAATATTATTCTTACAAGTGACTTTTAAGTGTAGTGACTTACATGCTGCCATTATCGAATTATTGATAATTGAGATGAGTACAATTCGTGTGAAACACAATGTTGAATATATGTAGATAGAGATAATTGAGTAGACCAGCAGAGTTTCCCCCTGACGAGTAACGTGAAATGTCCAACGCGTCTTCAAAATTCCCTTGGTTATAAGCAAATCCGGATATCACCCCTGTGACGGCTTTTTACATGCAAGCTGTAACGTGTCGTCCCAAGGCGTGGTTCTGGATCCGTTTAGAGGACACGATAAACCCCCTAGGAACGCGACCCCTTGCCCCATCAAAGTTCGGGCGTCCTGACCTCGGCAGGCCTTCTCTATCTGTGAATATAATTGGAATCCTTTTCAATAAACCTATCTTAAGCAGACACAATAATGGCTTCCTGTCGCCCCTGTCTATAACAGCTGTAAATAGAAAGTCTTGCGTTCTGTACAAGGTCTACTACACTTTATTTAGTAACTTAATAAATCTACCTTATAATTAATTATATATGTGTTATATGTGATTATTATGATCCCCATAATTATATTATTCTACATAGGTATACAACAAAAAGTTAAGGACCATCCATCTATGATCATTAAACTTTTTTCTTCTAATGTTTATTGGTCGCCATAACTTTGCCTGCTACCCTTCTAGCTTGAGGTGTAGAAGGTGTAGGGTTGGATAAAATGGTTATTAGCTCCGTTTCTTCTATGGCGTCCTGACTTCTAGTCACAGTCAACCGACCTGGAGGTCACCAGATCATACCTATAATACACCATAAATGACACTAGTGCCGCATTTATAGTGTTAACAGTTTGTATGCTTATTTTTATATAATCATTACAGCTATTGCTGAGAAAACTGAAATTTTATTCCATCCATTATGTAAAGTAGTCTATGTTTTACAATTATTAGATTCCTGTTTGTAGGGTGTTGGTGTAAGATATGTAAACATCTGTAGTACCAAATATCAATAAAATCCAGTAAACCATGAACATTGCAAGAAAGAAAACGCAAAGGTGGGCCCAGCCATGTATTAAAATGTTCAGATTCCTTCAACATGAGTCTCACCTTGAGTATGTCCTGCTTTGTTTATCATTTTGAAATGTGGTATTTGCATGGGCCATAAGGAAAATCTGTTTATTGCTAAATAGACTACAGCTGTTATGAGTGACATATATTTTCCGAGGTGGCTAAATGTAGAACAACATTGCCAAGTTCTAATGAAATCTGTTTAGTAGTCTCTGACTGACATGACTCCCCGCTTTTTTTGTTTCCTGCTGCCAAAGAACTTATAGCAAGAATGAATATAAGCACTTACCAGAATTATGAGGGCGAATAATATGACCAGCAACTTGTAATATGTTATTTTTTGGACAGGAATATCATCTGAAACAAAAAAATAATTACCTTTATGGCATGGTATCTTATTTCTTTCCTGTAACAAGTTTCTCAACTGTGTATCCAGTTACAGTGCTCAATACAAAATACTTCATAACAAATTTTGTAATGGTGAACATATGTAATTTATTTGCTGAACGGATTTAATCATTAGCCCTCTCGCTCTCAGCCTATTTCCACTGTACTGGTCGACAACACTCAGGCCAATTTTCACGTATTTACAGCTCAAAATGTAAAAATTCACCCAAAAAAGAATTTTACACACATAAACATGAAAAAATCACATTTATACACTAAATACCATAGATTTTTAAAAATCCTCATAAATTCTAATGTTATACTTGCCTTACAAAAATTTGAAAAATAGAATAAAACCATTAAAATTTACTTTCAGGAGGTAAAAACATAAATTGTTTTTTGTTTTCTTTCTTCATCACTCATCCTGCAAGATAGAACATTTATTTCTGCGTAATTTGATAAAAGTCCGTACTGTTGTCTGGTCCTAAACTACAACACTTTTTGTAAAACAATGTACGCGTTCCTTTTCGAGTCAGCACCTGTACTTGTTAGAAGGAGGAATACTGAAGTAATTGCATGTTTGTAAAAGAGATATTAAGAGATTTCAAGTGGATCGCATTGTCGCATATCGGCCTTTAACCTACAAGACTGCTTCTGTTATAACAGCCAATTGATCTCGTTCCTTCTTCAAACGGATCCATCTATTGGCCAAAAGGGATACTCCATCACCACCAGATTTATAGTACCATCTAGCAACGATTCAACGAAGGATTCAGATATTCTTCCGACTCGATCAATATGACAGAGAACAGCGAAGGTTAACGTGTGAATGCACAACACAGCGCTCCAATGCTACGCGTTTTACAAATGATAAATGGATTTAATGACTCCACAGCAGTTGATGACCTCAAGCACTATTTGGATCGCCTTCAGGAATCCTTGAAATATTTAACTAATCTAGATGAGTCCATTCACGACCTACTCGATGATGAGTTAGGGTTATGCTCGAAGATGGTCGTCCAGAACGCTCGTCATCATCGACAGAGGTTCGGCCATTTTTAAAACGTGAATGCCACACAAAAGTTTGCGGACTCCCCAAATGCTTGCTTTAGCATATCATAGGTTTCCGTAGCCGTTTTGGCGAGTCTTTGGCAAAATTTGATGCACACGCCATTCCGAAATCGCAGGAGGGTCGGTGTAATGCACTACCAAATCGCCCGTAACTAAGAAACAAATGCTAATTCGATGATGCCGGCTGGCACACTGATTCACTATGAATGTAGGCCCAACCCCTTAGCGGCAGAAGCTCTTACTACATCCGGTTCGCCCTCTATTGACACAGTCTTGAAACTTTCTGATCGCACCTCCATCACCACGGAGATCATTAGGATTGATGTTTAGTCTACTGAGATTTGAACCGGGGACCTCCCAAAAAGAAGTCCAGGTCATGATGAGAACGGGACACAGCTAAAAAACACAGGTAACAAGGCGTCGTCAAACAGAATACAGAGTGTAATATATTTATAAAGTCAGTTGCTTAATAAGGGGTGAAGTGCTTCGTTCTTATTCACACTGGCTGGTCGAGCTTTGTCATCCCTAATGTATACAGAATGTAGCATCACAATAACACTGAAACCTTCCTTTTGTGTTTTTTTTTTGTATGAATTACACTGGGTTAGAAGCACACACCGCCACATCCCCTGCATCACGTCTCATTCATCTTCATGTAAACAAACTACTGTTTGATTTCTGACACTTCTTCTTCAAATCTCCTATTTTCGTATTTTCTCTCAGCCCCTATCCACACCCCAACACACACCCCACTTCCTCTTTTATCTTGTCTTACCACCCTTGTATCTTCACAGAACCAGTTGCTGATACTTTCACGTGTTTCTTTTAACCAAAGTGTTTGTGAGTGTTCTTGAAGAGTTTTGAAAGACATTACTACCACAGCTGAAAGTTATTAACCCTTTGAATCTCGAAGATCTTCATTTCCGAATTCAATGAAAACACAACGCGTCTCCATTACAAAGATAAGCTGGTTAATTACTCTTATAAAAATAATAGCTGTTTATTACGGAAGGCATACGAAGTCGATGAATACAATCAGCGGGAACAATGCACAGTTAATTAATTTTAAAGTTTACGGTATATAATATGAGAAACCACTGTGATTTATAAGGAGTTAAGAAAAAATCTGCACAGTGAAAGAGCTACCACATTTGGCGAATCGTCCTCCAAATGTAGAATATAAAAATAAAGACACTGATGTTAATTGATAGCTCGGAATGAAAATAGTTAATTTAGCGATATGAGAAGGTGAATGGGTTCGGTAATGACTGATTAATATACTATTAAGCGACGTTTCGAAAAGATATATCGCCTTTATCTTCCGGAAATTCCAAGACAACTGGTGACTGCATGGTGTGACGCGGTTTCCAGCGAAATAAACTGACATGGAGTTCAATTACGTATTAAAACTCGAACATTACGAATCTAAAACAATATATTGTAAATTGTGTAACACCTTTGCCATTCCTTACAGGTACTCGTCCTTCGTCCCATCTTGGTCTTCTTGTGGTTACTATCATTCTATAATCATTCTACATTTTATAAAATTTTCATGTCTGTATGATTTTAATGACACTAGAGACAAACATTTCTGTGATCCTAACCTCTGAGGCTGGCTTAACAACATTTGGACTATCCCGGCTATGTCCCGTGCTCCAGAAGACGCCCTGAACACGTCAGTGTATAACGGGGAAAAAACGTCCCTTATGTCACAGATTCCCAAACTTCTGACAGTCTGTCCGTGGTCCCACGTTTTATCATTCGTTCCTTGTCCTGCAGCCTTTATTACACAAAGCTTTTGTGAACTGCAAGAGATCGAGACATCCATAAAGAATGGCGAAATTAAGTGGATGGAGAAAAGAAAAGTTCAAGAAAGGGGAAAAGTAGGAAATTCGCGGATAAACGAGAAGTAAATAAAGTAACACCATCCGGGATGGAGTGACAGCTGAAATGGGGCGCGGGTTAAAAGGGCGGCTAACAGTTGAAGCGTGTGTCCATGGCACCCGAGGGAGCGCTACCAGTCGAGAAGACGGGCCCTTGTCAATCACCCCAAACTCCTACAAGACAATCCACTTAGTATCTGAATCAGGTGGGGAGTGGCCAAGGCGAAATCGCTATCAGCAGTGACTGTCCATCCTGCCTAGACATCATCCCATTCCACCTAACTGATTACTTTCTGTTAACAACAATTCAGGAGCTCCACACAAGAAGCTGTAGGCTGAGACCTGACGTAAACTTTCATACAATTTCAACCCTTTCCACAATATGTAAGATACATCGTTTTTCTAGTATGGGTTTACCAATGAAAAATGTACTTTCCAAATAACTCTTAAACAATTAAAGTTACCCATGATTTTCTAAAATCGTTGAAAACAACGAAACACGCAAAGACACGACAATTACTTTTAAGCTTAAAGGTTTCTAACCTTTGTAGGAACTAATTTATACCCAAACATTAGGTCCCAGAGTATAACATTCTCCCAAACACAGAGTCCTAATTGAAGAAAAACAAATCTTAGTTTTTGAGAACAAGATTCATTTGTTATTTTTAAAAATCGGTAAATATTTCATTTACATGGTTTATTTTACTTGTCCTCTCTTCTTCTTTATTTTTTGAAGCTTCTTCTGTCTTTCGTTTCCTCTTTCCAGTCCCTTCGTCTCATTTGCCTTCTCTTTTAATTCTCAATCAACCTTCACATTTCCTTGTACCCTGATTCTTTCTCCCTCACATGTTTTTATTCCTGCGTAATTATCTCATTCTCCCCCCATTTCGTTTCTTCCTTTGCCCACGTATTTATGTTTCCTTCTTCCACTCTGATGCATGACGAACTTGCTGTCTCCATTTCCATGCTGACGTTTCACTCAATTGCACACACGCACGCAAAGTGCCGCGGGAGGAAAGTTTTGTTTGCTTTGATTGTGAATGTTGTCACATATGGAGTCCATCACTGACGTGAGAGCAACAGGGCGGGATATTCAATGGGGCCAAAGGGAGAGAAATGTTCGTGATATTTACCCTTGGGGCTTCTTTTTAAGTAGACCTGTAGAATTTTCAAAAGAAGATTACAAAAAAAAAAATAACGACGTGTTAATAATATTAAACTTTAGGTAAAGTGAGAAGACAAGTGAAAAAACAGTAACGCGTCGTTCAGGTAGCGGTCGTGTTTTATACCTTCATTTGATTGGCCGCGGTGTTCAGTGTTTCAACATGAATATTTTCGTGCGACTGAATCGAATGAGCCGATGGTTCAGGTTATGACAGATATGCAGATAAAAGGATACTTGCTCTCTATTGCATGTAATCCACTGCTGATAAAAGACCACTGTTTGTTAGGCTTGGCTGAACGCGTGGGTTTGATCGTGCGATACGGAAAATTTTGAAATGTAGTTCTGACGAAGGCGAATCTGGTAGAAAGAAACGGAAATAATGCTCCGGTGGGTTCTGGCGGATCTCCAATCAGGAGATCAGTTATTATATGACAATCGTTGCTTATTCGTCGTTAAATAATCGTTTCATACCGAGATACATGTCTCTGTAAAAACTTTTGACAGCGCAAATGAAACTGAAAGCTAAGTATAGATCTAGTTTGACGAATGTGTTATTTTACTTTTTACTAGGACTGTACCTGAAAGATGCATATTCTTTTTACCATAACACACTTTAGAGTAATAAACCAAGTAACGGTAGTAATGTTCCGACCTCATCATGCCTTTATATCGTAGCCATGTTGGTTTTAGCAACGCGAATATGAAAAGACTACAGTGGAATGATGTTCATACCAGATTTCATGAAAATCCGCCAGTTTGCTCATGACTTGTTTCGTGAGAACAAATACACATCGATGACTAATACTTGGACCATTTAAAGAGTGTCTGGACTTTGTGAGTTACGTAGCTTTAA